ATTGGTCGGGGCAGCGGCGCCGCGCGGGGTGTCCTAACAAGCAATATCCATGAGATCAAACATCACTTCGGAGCATAAGTAACGAAAATTTTTAAGTAGCAGATGCCAACTCAATGTAACATTACTGTGCGCGTAAACACGCATGCGAAGGCCCATCAATTGTTCAACATTTAATTTTTTCTTACACTGACTTTTAAAAGAAATCAATTTTTAAAATGGCAGTTGATGTAGGTAGTAAAAAAAAAAAGCCTACATATTTATATAAAGTAAAACAAAGTACAAGGCAGTCTTCAGAACTGACTGAGCTGAGGGGGCTTCCTCAGGCCCAGAAGAGCAAGCCCTGCGCTCTGAGACCCCCTTTCCAAAATTACCCTGCGCCTGCCTCTAGTGATGCTTAAGATTGTTAGTGCCTCACATGATCCACGTCATAAAAAGAGCTGATCAATAGCCCAGAGCTGAAGCCTGTTACATTTCTGTCCAGAATTTTGACTAATATTTGGCCCTGGTGGCGAGGAGACATGAGTTGTGCTTTGCAGCATCATAAGCGACTGCCGCTTGAAAGGTGCAGCCCCCTTAGTGGTGTGAAACAGCCTGCAGCGTTTGCTGCAAACCCCACAAGCCAGGCAGACGGGATATCTTACAAATCATGAGCATTTATGACTCAAGTGCATCAGGGGGAGTGGGGCATAAGCTCTTTTGATGCCACATTCTACTATCAATTGTCTGTAAAATAAACAAAAAAATCTAGTGAAGAAAACAATTGCTTAGCAATTGATCTTAAAAAAAAATATAAAAGACCCCCAGTTCATTCATTACAAATCATTAAGTTAAGAGATATCAAGGTAATGTTATCATCTCCATGGACACTGTTCTCCCTTCTCTGCTGGAGTACCTACTTTCATAAAACTTTTATCTTTGGATGCTGCTCCTCATCTGCAGTTTCATTTAAAATGTGCCAGCGAAGTCAAAAGTTACTGGGAAAATGAGACAGGATGTGACAGCATGTGTCCTACTTTCTTAGGAAACGAGTTTAAAAAAATGTTATGCTGATAGTGTTTGAGAATTGTTTTTGGGGTGAACAGAGAAATCAAACCTCAAACAACTGTCAAGGCTTATACCCCTGTGTCTGCACCTGAACTCTTGCCAAGAGCGTGGGATTTTGTGAGACAGGCCCACCAAAGGAATGAAACAAACAGAATTAACTTCCTGTATCAAAGCCTTGCAAATACTTATAAATTGCCTTTTGATTTACTCCATATTCAATGTAATTCTATTGTTGGCCTTGCCTATCTCTTCCAAGAACAGGAACTGATTGATGATATATTGCAAACTGAAATAATTGAGGAAAATTAAAGGAAATTGCACAAGTGGCTGCCTCAAAATGCTTTCCTGCCATCTTCTGGTCTTTCTTGGTAGTGACAGGGAAGAAAGGTCTCAATTCACACCTTAAAATTCTGGATTTCAGCAGCTGTGTGCCATAACAAGAAAACAACATGCACGTTTGCCACAATATGCATATTGTGGCTCTTAAAAGCAAGACTGTCACATTCATAATTCAGCTCAGCAAGGAAGACTAAGGAATGAGAGAAAAGTTCGTAAGAGAAATGCAGCACCTTGGGAGGTAGGCAGAATGGGGTCAGAACAGCCATGCATCCAAGTTGCCCACTCAGATGATGACGAGGAAATACGTGGTTCTCATGACACTCCAACACGTCCTAGAAGCAATCGTCACCTTTCAACGAGAACTTACAAAGGTGAAACACTGTCAGACTTTAACCTATAGTACCTAACCGTGTCACATAGAACATGGAACATAACGTTATTCCCACCAGAGAAATCAAAATGGGCAAAGCTTACTGTTTGCCAGTGGAAGAACTAAACCTGCCCATTGCAAATAAAGACATTTGGTTCTGTATGCAGGTGTCTTTGACTTTTCCTGCCTACTGCTGGGAACTGGTGATCTCTGCCATCCCTTGTTCCTAAAAAGCAGACTGCAACATTGTAATTACCATGCAGTACTGTAAGATTCAGGAGTTCTATAGTAAATCAAAGAAAGGAAGATATATCGCACTCAATTTATCTTTTATTTAATTCTTGTCATATATTTTCCTTCTTGACATTTCAGATACATTTTTCTGATTTAAAAAAATCAGAATTTATCTGAAGATTTCTGCTGCCAGCTTTTGCTGGTGAATGGATATGTTCATATCTAGTTGTATACAATCACGTAAGTAACATAAGACTATAAAGAAAGTGATCCCTCAAAATGCAGGATGTCACCAAAAAGGCTATGGAACACTTGAACTTAATTTTCAACTATAGCAAAATCGATTAATTTGAAAAATAGCAAAAAAAAAAAACCCAGGAGAAAGACAAGCAACTGTAACAAGCCCTTGCTTTGCAGTACCAATTCAGATTGCCTCAATAAAGACAGGCTTATGTTTGCTACTTAAATCACAAGCAACAGAATAATTTCACTGAAAACAAAATAGCAGATTAGCTTCCAAGATACACCTTAACGGCTCCAGAACTGACCTAAGCAAATCAGCTCACCTGACTTGGCAGTTGTCCTGGTTTCAGCTGGGATAGAGTTAATTTTCTTCCTAGTAGCTGGTATAGTGCTGTGTTTTGGATTTGGGATGAAAATAATGTTGATAACTCACTGATGTTTAGTTGTTGCTGAGCAGTGCTTACACTGAGTCAAGGCCTTTTCAGCTTCCCACACTGCCCTGTCAGCAAGGAGGCGCAGGGGGGCACAAGAAGCTGGGATGGACACAGCTGACCTCAACCAACCAAAGAGATATTCCATACCATATGACATCATGCTGAACAATAAAACTGTGGGGAGTGGTAGTCACTGTTCAGCAACTGGCTGGGCATCAGTCAGCAGGTGGTGAGTGATTGCATCGTGCATCACTTGTTTTGTATATTCTTTTATCATTATTATTATTATCTTCCCTTCTTTTTCTGTCCTATTAAATTGTACTTATCTCAACCCACAAGTTTTAGCTTTTTTTCCAATTCTCTTCCCCCATCCCACTGTGGCAGGGAGTAAGCAAATGGCTGCGTGGTGTTTAGCTTCCTGCTAACCACAAGGTTTAACCTGGTTAAACCACAAGAGTAGTTAATAGTCACATTTGCAGTAATGAAAAATCTAGACATTTCATGTTTGATCTAAGGGCGTAAGCAAGTGAAGTTTATAGATACAGTGTTGTAAGAGAAGTTCCTAACTTTATCAATCAAAAAAAAATTTAGTGTTTGTTGCTGCCCTTTATCTAAGCGTTCATTATGTATACACTCAAGATCTATGTATATCAGCCAGTACTTGCTCATGTGTCATTTAATTATTAGAAACTAAGTCTTGCTATATCGAGCGTTGCAGCTGGCATTGTATATAAACAGTGAAGTGTACCAGAAATACTTTATTCACTGAAGGTGTTTACTATCAGCAAAGGACAAAATTTTTTCAAAAACTTTTATTTACTATAAAGACAAAAACCACCAAAATAGGTACAAATTATACTATATAAAATTGGTTCAATGGGGTAAAAACTTTTAATTAAAATATCTTGATATATTTAAAATAACAAAGGATACAATGAAGCCAAATTTCTTAACCCAGAGATTTCTGTAAAATTTGCTTGCACAGTAAGGTGCTAATAGAAGTTAGCCCTTAAGCCCTGGAAGTCTTAGGAATCAGTCACATAGCAAATATAATTTCATTGTGAAAGTGAACTTTGGTAGAAGAAACTCTATAGGACACCTGAGGTAGTAGAAACTGGAATAAACAGCAGTAGACGTTATTTACAACTTAAGTACCAAATAACATTAAGAACACAAAAAATAATTACACAATACAATTTTCAGTCCAGCTTTGATCCAAAGAAAATAAGAATATTACATCACATCTGCATTTTAAAAACACCACAATTACCAGCAAGCTGAGGGAAATGCAAACAAACTCAAACAAATGCATTTGGACACCTAGAGGCAGTTTGAGTTTGAAATGTGGTAGGCATAGTGATCTACAAAGTAATACTGATTAGCTGAGGTTCATCAGTTTATACAGTTTACATTTCTGCCAGAAACAGTATTAATCTGACAACTGATCTTCCAGTACATGAATTGGCAAGAGTGCATCCTTAAAGCTTGCACATAAGAAAGACTTAGAAACAATCTTATTAGAATGAGAAATTCTAAAGTGGTAAAAAAAAAAGTCAAGTACAAAACAGTTAGAGCTACCAAACTTCACATTTCAATATTATCTTTTTAACTCTTCAAAGTCTGCCAATCTTCCAAAACAAAGGAATGTAAAATTTCCAAAAGAAACATATTCACAACTAATGACACTGCTTCTTTTATTAGTATGAGCACTATCATTCTTGTAAACTTATCTTTAAGATGTTTTACTTCCAATTGGTATTGTACATTTTTAATGTACCATAGCTTATTTAGTTTGTCCTGAGTCTTTGAAAATAACCAATTCTATTTCAGTCCAACAATCCAACTGGCATCTGAAGAGTTAAAACATGAACAGTATTTTTTTCAAATAGATTAAACACAATCAGTATTCGATTAAAAAAGATCCCCATCTTAAAAAAAGCAAAAGAAAAGCTGCCGTTTTCCTTCAGAATTACATGCATCAGAATCTAAAAACCTGCCTTTAAAATTATTTTAAAAACCTGTTTTAAAAAAAACACACCTGCTAAAAAACATAGTTTGCACTACAGGTGGAAGCTTTACTTCACATTTTACTTTATCTTGCTTTTCAAGTCCAAGTTTGTTTCTTGTTAAAATAAATACCTTTCTTATGGTAATATTTTTAACATTTTCAAATTAAATTATCACTAATGGCTACAGTAAATAGATGATGTATGACAGAA